GGACTCCGCGCTGCTCATCCCCGCAAGGGAGGAGGTGGCTCGCTGACCTTGAGGTCTCCTTGGGTGCTGCGGCCACCCACCGGCCACCCCACGCTCCCGCAGAGCCCCGGGGTGGGGTAGACCTGCATACGCGACGGAGCGGGACCCGGAGCCCCACCCTAGCCCAGCCACGAACTCACCCGTTCACGCCGACCTTCACCATTGCGTCTCCGGAGCGAGGCTGCGGAGGGAGAGAGAAGAAAGAGAGGTCAGCGTGCCCCCCGCCGCGCCCCCCATCCCTTCCCCCTCCAGCCTCTGCAATGCGGAGCCCGGGCTCGGGCAGTGGAGCTCGCCCCAGCGCCCGCAGTCCCGGGCTGAGCGCCCCCCTTCCCCGTTTCCGACCGTCCCCGGCCACCTGCGGCCCACTCTGCGGTTTTCACCTGGCACTGCACGGAAAGATGCGGCTGTCTCTAGAACAGGGAGGAGCAGAGAGCACCGGGGAGGGCTGCAGTCCGTATTTATAGGAACTGGGGTGGTGGGGAGCGCCGAGGACGCTCGCCCCGCCTCCCGCCCCGCTCATCCATCCAGTCACAGCTCAAGGGCGCTGAGGCCTGAGCTACGTGCACCCGTAAAGCCGCGAGTAGCTGGGCCACTCGGCACCTCCCCACCCCCTCTCTTTGGACCCGCCTCGTTTTTGAAATGTGCACGCACCAAACGTGTGGGCTCGGGGCTGAGAGGGGGAGGGGAACTGAGATTGCTTCGCTGGGGAGGTGACCCGGTGATGGGGGACAGGATAGGACCGAGGGAATACAGACTATGGACTTAAGGACGAAGAGTGTGTACTAAGGACTTCCAGGACCCAGGGACCTAAAAGTTGCCGCCCCGATAAAATGGGGAGAACCTGGGAAGGAACAGGAACGGGGGCGGGGGGGGGCGGGTTGAGCAGAAGTGCGTGTGTGCCACAGCTGCACCGCCGACCCTCTCCCCTTTATGCAAAGGCTGTGGAAAAGTTGAGGATCTTCTCGTGGTTCTTCGGTAGTGACACAGGCAAAAACAAGTCTCGGAGCAGAAAAGGCCCGGGAGGGGTCACTTTGCCTCCTGCGGGGGCCCTTCGCATTCGCAGTTCCATCCCCCACCCCCACTTCCATTTCTTGGGCCAGAGGCCTGGGCTGTGAGGGCCAGGAGGAGGCTAGGGAAGCGGCCTGGAGGGGCGCTCCCTACGCCACAGGTCGGGATGCCCTGCATAATTGAGACTTACAAACTGGCCTCTGTGTTCCTCAGTTAAGGTCTAGGTTGGGGCCCCGGGGTGAGGACAATGTCCTGGTTGTGGGTTGGGTTGGAGGAGGCAAAGAAGCCTCCCAGAGCGTTCCTCCTCGGAACCTGAGGGTTGCACCGCCCAGGCTAGGAGACACTGCCCCTTTCACCCACTGCAGCCCCAGGGCGGAGAGCTGGACGTGAGGGCGGAAGTCCCTCCCCGTCCTGGGACGTGCCTACTGGCCCTGCAGCCAGGGACTCTCCTTTCTTGGCTGCCCTCGTGGAGGCAGGGTGAGGTCTGAGAGGAGGGGAAAGTAGAAGGGGTAGGGGGTATTATACCCCAAGCCAGAACAGCCTGGCCCCAGCCCCCTCCAACAAGTGGGAAGGAGAAAGGGGGTTCCTCCTCTGAAGAGTAGGGAGGGTGGAAAGGGTGGATCCTGAGCTCTCGGGAAGGGCTTGGGAGCTCAGCCACAGGTGCTGGGCAGGGGGATCCTGGGGCCTCTTTGCTAGGTCAGTGCAACTTGAGACCAGCCCCCTGCTCTTTTAGCTGAAGAGCCTAATTGCTAAGTTTAGCTGGCCTGGTGATAACCTTTGCTTAAAAGGCAGGGAGCAGGCTGGGCTGCACCCCAAATCCAGTCCTGGCTCCTTGCCATTCTGGGATTGCCCTACCTCCTTGGGGCCCCAGAGCCAAGACTGACAGCTGTGTGGCCCATGCCCAGGCTTTCCATGAGCCGGGGGCAGGATGCAGAGGATGGAAATGGTCCCAGTGCGGGGACTCAGCCCTGTCCCTTTTCTGCCTTCCAACAGAGGTTTCAGGAGCAGCATTAACCCTTTCCCATCAAAGAGTCTCAGGAGCCCCTCCATAGTTCTGCCCTAACCTAACACATGTTTCTGAGGTGCCGTCTTCCCTTTTGCCTCCTGCCTATGGTTTGTCATTACTGTTCCCCCACCACACACGTAAGAGGTAGGGAGCATTTCTATGGCAATGTGCTGTTGTCATGACAGCAGAATCAGTGTCTCCTGTTCCAAGTGACTCAGCAGATTAAGGACTTGGGGAGGGTGGGCATGGCTTGCCGCTGAGGGGCTGGACGCCCCTGCAGACCCCATAGTAAAGGCTGACTCCTGGGAGTCATGATCTCTTCTGGGATGAGGCACACAGAGGAAGAAAACCGTAGGTCTAGAGCATTGTTTGTCAACTTGTACACTCCTGATACACTGTTGTGGGGTGTTCTATGCAGGAAGGAAGCTTTATGTGTCCCAAAAGGCTATGACAGAAATAGGTCTCTGGGTAGAAAGTACCCCCAGGCTGAGAAGTGAGAATTCTCTACAGTGGAGTCTCATCAGTTGTGCAAGATGAATCAATGAGGAAACATGAAGACCCAGAGACAGCCTCAGGATGCCTGGGCTGGTGTATCTTCTCTCTGGTTTGATAACCCTCTATTGCTGCCTGAATCTGGGCTAAGGTGGAAGATGAAACAGACCAGCAAAGAATAAAAGTATATAAAAACATTTATTCTTAGAAAACATGGTGATTGGTTAAGTGTTTGTTGGAAAGTGAAAGCAGCAGTCAGATGGGCTCTAGGAGAAAGGCCTTGAATGCAAAGACCATTTACATATTAAAAACAAGGAGGCAACATTTTTACAAGGGAGGAAATGAATTAAAAATCAATTAAGATACCCTGCACAGCAGGGATGGGAATAGGTGAGGCAACTCCTAAGACCTGTGTCTTCGGGCAGATGATCTGCGGATGGGGGTGGTTCTCTTGGGAGTCTCTTCTTCCGTCATTTCCGCTGAAAGTTCTGTTCAAAGAATTATAGGAACAAAAGCTGAGTCACAAAGATGGTGTAAAGTGGATCTTAAAACATAGAGCTGCAAAGGTGAGCCAACGTGCACAGTGGGGAACACATTACCAGGAAGAATGACTCTACAACCAGGCAAGCCCCAAGGAGACCCCAAGGCAAGCAAGCAGCTGCCGGGAGGGCGAGTCATACCATCCTCACTGGACTCATCACTTGAAAAGACAACTTTGGCTTTCTTCTTGGACTTTCGTTGCTGAGTGTTTGGACGATGACGGTTGGTGCGTCGAGGCTTAGGTGTGACAAAGTCATTGTCTGAATCTATAGAAGTCAGAGGCTGTCGCCTTGAGACTAGAAATGGCAGGGAGATGTGATTTTAAAAACAAAAACCAATAAATGACAGGGATGATTTGTGGGGAGTCCGTGTGGGCTTGTCTCTCATACCAGCAGAGGGTTTCTTGGCAGACAGGGCTTGCTGGCTGCCTTCTTGGCCAGTTTCAAGCTCCTCTATTCCATCCATGCCTCTGGTATGACATGCCCGAAGCTTCTGCTCAAATTCATCTATGGTAGCCTACAGGAAAAAAGTTAAAAACAGCACTGGAAACATTATCTCCCTCTTTAAAAACAGAGAAACAGAAAGATGCTGGGGCATTGGTGGCGCACGCCTTTAATCCCAGCACTCGGGAGGCAGAGGTGGGAGGATCTCTGTGAGTTCGAAGCCAGCCTGGTCTCCAGAGCAAGTTCCAGCACAACCTCCAAAGCAATACAGAGAAACCCTGTCTCGAAAAACAAAACTCAAAACCAAAAAAGAAACATAATTTAAATGTTATATTCTAAGTAAAAAGCCAACCTGAAATCACTATATAGGGTGAAATTACAACTGAGTGACACCACAGGGGTGATGTGGCCTTAGGGTCATGAAAATGTCCAGTATGACACTGTGGTGACAAGTATGTGCCACTGTACAGTGAACCCAGTATCAGTGTGAACTGTGGACTCTGGGTACTGCTCTGTCATTCATTGTCACTCACACTCATTCATCCAGGTCACTGTAGATTGTAAGATCACAGTACCCAAGGGTATGAAGATGATGGGGCAGAGGACAGGGACAAACGGGAACTCTACTTACTTAGTTTTGCTCTAAACACAAAGCTAGTCTAGTGCCAAGCATGTGACTCACGCCTTTCCTACCAGCACATGAGAGGCAGAGGCAGGGGAATCTGAATTTGGGGCCAGCCTGGTCTAGGTAGCAAATTCTAAGCCAGCTAGAGCTACACAGAAAGACCATGTCTCAACTAGAAATCGGCTTTTACTGGGGGCTAGAGAGATGGCACTTGCTGCTCCTGCAGAAGACCTGGGTTCAGTTCCCAGCACCCATGTGGCAGCTCACAACTGCCTGTAACTCAAGTTCCAGATCTGGCACCTTCACATGGACATACACACAGGCAAAATACTAATGTATACAAAATAAATTTTTTTTTTAGGACCGGGAAGTGGACATAGAAAGTGATCTCAAGTCACTCTAGTTAAATGGCTGTAGTGAGGCCAGCACGGCAGTAAGTTAAGAGTCCCACAGCACTCGAAGAACAGACTGTGTTCACTGAACAGGAACCCAATAGGGCCAGTCACCCTGCACCACTCACCTTGCCCTCAGGCTTGGCCCCCCGACGCAGTTTGCCCACAACTGACAAAAAGGCACTGAAGACAGATTCATCTAACAGCTTATCTCCAAAGCAGTCAAAGTTGTCAAGCATCTTGTGAAGGCCTTTGTCTGTGAGGGGCAGCTGGGACACACAGTAGGCCAGGTCCCGGTACTGCCGCTCAGTTCTGCAAAGGGAGGGACTTAGTGAGGCACGCACGTCCTCCCCCTTCAGTCTCCCTTGGTACAGGGGGGCCACCAGGGACTCTTTCCTTCGAAGAGTCCCTCTTGGCACAAAATGACAGCATACCGGGCTGTGCGGAACCGATGACACAGCTTCTCCACCAAACTCTCAGTCTGTTTGTCCTTGGTGATGTAGGACAGGAGCTGCCTGTGAGGAGGGGGAGTGTGACCGGCCAAGAAAGCTCTATTCTCAACTGCTACGCTGAATCCACACCCCCACCTTTGCTGTCCTTGCTTTCAAGAATGGTCTTGGCCATGGCCTACCACTGTTCCTTTTGTCCCCTTCTATTTACTGAGAATGCAAATAACAACAGCTGCTATCTAGTGACTGCTACTAAGTGCCTACCATATTGGGAGCCATGAAGCAAGTACTATCACTCTCATGTGGAAAACAGACAGACAGGGGTCAGGCTGTTTTCAGAGAAGGTACATCTGGGCTGAAGACAGTGGCAAGAGCGCTTGCCTAGCATAGGTTAGACCCTGCACTCACTCTTAGTCATTCTTAGCATAGCATAATAACCAACCAACCAACCAACCAACCAACCAGTATGAGTGGGGATT